GAACGAAGTTACCAGATCAAGGGTGAATGATGATGGACGGGTCAGGCGGTGCATTCCAGGAAGAGAGAGTAATCAGAACACAAACACCACACAAAATCTCACAAAGGTTGAGTTATTGACTCTAAAATCAAATAACAAAACTGACTCAACCGAGGATAAATAGAGAAAGAAATGCAAACAGACTGGTTGGGTTGCCTCCCAACAAGCGCTTCTTTCACGTCGTGAGCCGGACGATGGCTCCTAAGTTTCGATCCATGCTAGAACCTCCTTGTAGTTGAGGTTCTCATCTATGAGGTGGAGTCTCAAGTCACAAGCAGGTGGTGTGGCAGGTGATGAAGGCTCGTGCACTTGATGCAGATGAAGTCTCCACCCTCGAAACCTCTTCTTCTCTTCTCTCGTCTCATTGCCCCAAACCAAATAAGACAGCATCAATTGGCCACCATCGCGTCCACCAAGAGGGACCGATGTCGATGTGGCCTTGGTCTGGCAAAGAGACACTGCAAATGGGTCCTTGCCAAGCAGCTCCTCGAAGTTTAGTGGAGATATCACATGTAACTCATGGCCGGTGCAGGCCTCTTCCACCTTAACTCTGTCCTTAGCCTGGACGCCAATTTCTTCTTCAACCTCCCTTTCTTCTTCATGTGGTATCACCCCTGGGAAATGATCAAGAACTCCTCCTGCTTCACTTTCGTCATCCTCCACAACTTCTTTCTGCACCCTTTCTTGCTCTTCTTCTTCTAGCACGGATTGGAGAGCAATTTGCCAAGCAATTTCTTTCATGAGATCTTCTTGCATCTCCTCACTCATGCCCGCCTCTTCAAAGCTCGGTGTGGGATGTGGGAAGGTGTGGTCGGCTATGATAGGACATTCCTGATCATGATCGTCACGAGAGCTCTCCGTGACAACTTCAGTGTGCTCCACAATGTCCTTGTAGCCTTCTTCCTCCTCCTCTTCTAGTATGGTAACATAAGGGTGATCTGGAGCAGGTTGTGCACAAGATCGCTCAAGATCATCGACGCTCTTCTTAAGGCTCAGGAGGATCTCCTCTGTTTCACGATAGGCCTGGACACAATGATCCATCCTGGAGCATGATCTCTCACAGTCTCGAGCAAACTGCTCCATGAGAAGCCTCAATTCATAGTTTGGATCTGGCTGTGGAGTGTATCATGGCTCTGCAGAATGGCCCGTGAAGGCCGCCATGGGTAACTCCAGCTCCAATGGCCCCTCTGGTTGTGGGAGAAATTCTTCTCGATAAGGAGGTTGTTCTTGATATTTCCAGGGGTCCGATTGTTCTCCGTAGAAAGGGGGTTGGTACTGGAACCCGACTCCATAGTCTTCTCCTCCTTGGTTACTCCAGGAAGTCTCGGGGTAATACCACCCGGATGGTGGTGGATACCCCCAATGATTGGAGAAGCCATGATGATTCCTGATTCAGCTCTGCACCAACAAAAACAAAAACACCCAAGTGAAAAGCAAGGGTGTAAAAGAAAAGAAAAAATGCTAAAGTAACAAACTTCTGCCTTTCCTAATAATCTAGAAAGGTCCACGGCAACGGTGCCAAAAACTTGACACGCTAAAACACAACACCTAACAATGGCCAAGTGTAACCAATGAAAGGGACTGCAGTATAGTGGCAAAAGTAATAAATATCGAATCCACGGGTCTCTAGAGTTACTATTGCTCAGCTTCAGTTCATTATCTAGCAAACTAGATTAAGGATTGATTTATAAACTACTCTGCTGACTACTCTACAAATTACAAGTTGGGAACTCACTTAGGTATGATTCCCCCTTGCTCCTCAATTAGGTCCAAGTTGCAATTACCTTGGGTTGATCTACTGTTGATTAAACTGCGGAAGATCCTAAATTAGCTTGGAATCTCTTAAGCTGACCAAGCCTTCTCAGTCAGAATACCCGGCAGGCGACTAGCCTTCACCGGGATAGACTGCTAAGGCGATTCACACAGATCTCCACTACTGGAATGAATTCCAGTACAAAGCAGTGAATTGATTGACTCTCGCACAACCAATTCACTACTATCAATCAAGGAAGCTCTCTTAACCTAATCAGATTCTATCTATCATAGGTTAAAGCAGAAATCAAGAGAATTTGATCAAGATTCAATTGACTCAATAAATCATGCCTCAATCGATTATAATCAAACAATATAGCATCCAAAACTTCATACAAGAAAGATCTTAACACATGGAACTAGGGTTCCTCAAAACTTAAGTGAAGGGAAGTTACTCCATAGAGAAGAGAGAGACTGCAGAAATCTTATCTAGATCTTCAATCTCCATCTCCAAGCTTGATTCCCGAGCTCCAATGGCAAAGAAATCCTCCAAAATAGCTCCAAGAATGTTCCCAAGTCGCTCTCTCTCTAGGGTTCGTCCCTTGGGTGTTTGGGAACCAAAAACCCCGCTCTCCCCTTTCCTTTTGCTGAAAATCGGGTTTTAAACAGGAATTCCCGATCACGCGGCCAGGCCACACGGACGTGTGGCTTTCCCAGCTGCCCGTGTGAAGGCTCGGTGATTTCCACACCGCCACGACCCACACGGCCGTGTGGAGTTCCAGGATGCCCGTGTGGCTTGCTCAGCCTCTGTTTAATGCTTCGTTTCTCCCTCGTCCGGACTCCGAATCAGTCGCCGTTTGATCCCAGACGCTCGTAGTCTCGTCCTCTTTCTTTTCATGACAAAATTCCATGATTATTTGTCTATAATATGAGGTAGAAGTCCATTATTCCTCAGGTCATGCTTGTGTTTCTTCTCCCGAATTGCCAAATGATCTCCGATTGACTTGAAACTTGCGCATATGCTTCAATTTACATGCTAGGACCTGAAATGTGACAAAGGAACACAACCTAGAATAAAATAGTCCAAGAAAGCAGAAACTCAAGCCAAAATGATCAAGAAACGAGGGTGCAAACATGTGCAAATCCGATGTTATCAATTACACATACTATTGATTTGGCAACTTCGTGGCTCACATGTAGGCGCCATGTTATTATGATCAAACATACATTTGACCACCTTCAATTCAACTGTTAAACTTAATGGTCAATAAAATATTTAGGCTACAAATGACCGAAATCTCATAGCTTGAAACAAATTTGTCATATTGAATAGTTTAGAACACAAATGACACTTTTTGAATAGTTTGGGCTTTCTAGTGGAATAGTCATTGTTTTAAGTAGGCCCACCTAGGTAATTGTAATAATGATTTGGATCACAAAAGAGTTTTTTGGGCCTTATTTTATTTTGGCTATTATCAACAACATCGGGGTGGTCAAAGATGTCTCGAGTTCAGCAGTGTTGCGAGTTTGCCAATGACACGAGTTCAACAACATTGCGGGTTCAATAACAGCACAATGGTTAAGAAATTCGTGGGCCCGATGCCCCAATGACATCGTGAGTCAAACAATGTTGGGAGGTTAGCGGCGTCGTGAGGTCACCAACATCGCGGTGAATCGACAATGTTGCAATCTCAACAACGCCGTGTTGTAAACCACATCGTGGTTCACGTGCAATGTGAAGCTACAGTGCGAACCCACAAAGTCACGGTGCTGCATTATGGTTTGTGGTTACACGAGGATGATTCAAGCAACACCATGGTACTAGCAACATTGTGGTTGTAACCTCATTGATTTAGAACAACATTGCTCTAGCAATATCGCAGGATCACAACACTGTTGACATTCGAATAATGTCACGGTGTGGAACCGCGTTAAAGCATTATGTGTTCGAAGGTGCAAGGCACAATATCAACTAGGTGGTTAGCTATACGTGTGTGCCTCACATATAGAAAAGTGGAGTTGAGAGATGCATAGTCATAACCAAGAGTGGTGAACGTGAGACAAGAGTGCGGGATAGAAACAACACATCTGCCTCACTTTATCTTTTTTTTCCGTAACTCCTACTTGAAGAGCTCTCCTCCTATAGAGAATTTGAATTTTCCATAGGTGTAGGAGTGACTCTTAAGAATCTACACTAAAGTAAACTAATTTAACGTAGATTTCCAAATATCAAACACTCTTATCTTTAACATTATTTGAGAATATGCGAATCGAGTAGCAATCGTCTTGATTTATGGAAAATCCGTCTCTCAATCCAAGCAATCAACCAAACAAATCGACCTACAAATTGATTTCATCCATATATGTAGTGGTGGAGGAGCCAGGTGAAGACAAGTGAGTGGAGGAAATAGCTCCCCTGCTCGTTCTCAACCAAGTCTGACCTCAGTCCACATCAATGGCCCCTGAGCCAGCAGCCACAACTCCACACCAGCTCCCTTCCGTTCCTTTCGTGAGTTTCTCATTTCTTTTCTTTATAATAAGTAGGGCTGTTAATGAGCCGAGCCGAGTCGAGTCGAGTCGAGCTTTGCCTTGTTCATGTTCGGTTCGTTTATAATCGAGTCGAGCTCGAGCACGACTCGTTTATTAACGAGCCAAGTCGAATCGCCCGACTCGTTTATTAACGAGCCGAGTCGAATCGAACACGAGCCAGCTCATTTATTAAATCTTGTCACATTTTTAAGATAGAAAGTTCAGCTCGAGCTCAACTCTTAGATAATTTATAATATAAATACCCTAATATTTATGTCATATGTGATACAAGTGATTACCTAATGTTATGTCATATATGAGACGTATTTGTTTGCATATACTCAATGTATTAAACACCATATGAGGTGATATATACAATTTAATAATTATATGCATCATTAACAAACCAACTCATAAAATATAGATTGATTTTCTCATAAGCTGTAGTCGAGTTAGCTCTCTAGTCACAATGTTGGGACATCTCATAAGCTCGAAACGAGATAGTTCATGAGTTGTATTAAACGAGCCACCTAATCGAGCTAGTTCACGAGCTTCACGAGCCGAACAAGGTAGAGCTCAAGCTTGGCTCGTTTATTAACGAGCCGAACTTTTTTTTAATCGAACGAGCTTTTATCGAGTTCGAGACCGAGTCGCTCACGAATAGCTCAGCTCATCAACAGCCCTAATAATAAGGCTGGGGGACAGTGAAGAAGACGGAAGTAGGAGTCGCGCAGTGAAGTGTGAAGAACCCAAAAGGGTCGTACTTATCGTTTCCACCAATTTTGGTTTTGTCGTCAATTGTTTTGCAAGAGGCGATGAACAAATAGGAAGGAACAAAAAAATAGAGCCAGAGAGAGCCGTTTCCGCGTGCTATCCGTGTTCTTTGTCCCTCTGCTGTTTTATGGTAGACAATTTTAATTTCCCTCCTTGTTTTACAGCTTTCTAGGGCTTTCGATGTTACTGCTACTATAATAACGCACCTCACGTAGACGCATACAACCCACGTCCTTTCCTTTCTCTCTCTGTTTCAGCTGCAATCCGGCCCCTCTATCTCTCTCTCTCTCTGCTGTGCTCAGCTGGTTTCTGCAATCTGGATAACATTCTGAGCTCAACGCACAGACTGGTATGTCTACTCTACACCTACCTGTTGCAAATATGAAGGATTACCCTCGTCGCATTTCCCTTTATACAGTTGGTTTAGACTGATTTTCCCAAAGAAGCCGTGTTTTTCTCGAAATGGGTTCGTGGCAGAACTTGTTCATCGAATCTGCACATCATCTGTTTGTAGAAATGCCTGTGTGGACCAGAAATCTCCTTACTTTCTTTTGTTTCTACTTTATATCTTCTATCTTATTGTCCGTCCCTAACTAGCTTGCTCCAAAACAATTTCACTAAACCACGAAAACAAAGACAGCTGTGTGGGAGCTTGTCATCCTTTTCTCCGATTGCATTTTGGTTACTATTGGTTTTTTCCGCTGCGTTTTCCAATGGCGGGATTCTGTTTTCTTGTGGCAGGGGGAAGGTTGTGAAGTAAAATTCTTTGTTGGGGCTTCTGGATAGAAGCTGACATCCACACAACTCTGGCCGACTCGGAAGAGATATCCATTGTTCCAACCGGAAAAGGCTTTCAGCTTCCCATTTCCGGTGTTCGATCGCCCAGTGCCATCGTTGTCGGGTCCTTGCTATGGTGTCTTCCCGTTGATTATGGCTAACTTGTGATCAGGCTGTTTGTGGGATGTGACTCGTTTTTACCGTTGCCGTTCTTCAATCAGCAGCTGTAGGAGATGTGAGTTCTTCATTGGTTGAAAGAAACCGAGGAGTAGTAGAAGAAGAGAAACTGCGAAGAAAGTTGAACTCGGAAGAAGGAAATTGAGAACTTTCAGTCAAGGACAGGAAGAGTGGTTTAGGATGGCGAAATTTAACTGCTTTTCGATGATGTGTGGACACGGACACAAGGTTGGACGATCTTTGATATAATCTTTGCGTTCCATTGAACTTTTTGTTCAAAATTAACTACTGCTTCTAACTCCTTTTGTTCAAATTAGGGTGGAAAGGTATCATCCAAGGCTCTGGAGTTCAACAAGGCGCTGACGAACTTGCAGGTCACAGTTGAAAAGCCTTTCAAGAGCGATGATGAGACCAAAATGGCTTCTTTCAATCTCTCGGTTCCGCATGATGTCCAGGATGATTCCCTGAATGTTAAGGTGACGATGACCCATGAGACTGCTGGTGAGAAGGAAGAAGCATCCTACGAAGGGGGAGATGAGCACGAAGAGAATGTCTCCTTCAGAAGGGACTTATCTGACCTTGATCTCCAATCCCGCCTGCCTAATTCTGGTGAAGAAGAAGAAGAGCTCATCCCAACTCCTAGAAGCCAGACATCGGTTCACTCTCATTCCGTTGAAGATGTGATTGATTTAGGCCGAAGTGGGCATATCAGTGATCCAGGGATTGGGAAGGCTCCATTTTGGGGCTCCCCTAAGCTTAAGCGCTCATGCTCCAACCTCGAAACCAGCAAAGTTATGAGACAAGTGGCAAACTCTCCATGCTCTGGGGAATCACAGGAACTGCCTGCAAATTTTGGGTCAGGCAGCCCTCCAGTTTCTGTAGCTAGCCGTCATAGTGCTGACAGAGTGATGTTGAGAAAACACTCATCGAGTCAAATTCTGCCATCACGAAGTAGAAGGCTTTGGTGGAAACTATTTCTCTGGAGCCATAGGAACCTCCATAAACCTTCAACTGCAAAGCCAGAGCAATTTGCTGCTGCCTCAAACCAACCAGGTGGTGGGTACTCGTCAGATACACTTGAACCAAGCAAAGATCAGTCACGAGCGGAATCCTCACACAAGAACCATATGAATCATGAAGTTGGCAAACACAATTGGGATGGCTTTCAAAACCACTGGGTTGCAAACACTTTTTCAGTTGATTCATCGTCGCCCTTAGCTAGAGTAGACAAATGGGTGCAGAATATCGACATTGAACCCCTGCCTGAAAATCATCATGATGACGTTGATGACGGCATTGTTTATCCTCCTTCCCCTGAGGATCATAGGTTTCAAGTGGCTCATGTATCAGAAGACATTCTACATGCAAACAGTGTCATCCTGTCTCTGAACTCTTCATCAACTGTGGCTCACATTTCTGGAACAGGGTTAAAAGTCATTCCGTCCTTGGCACCTTTCACCAGTCTTCGCACAGTCAACTTGGCAAACAATTACATAGGTAAGTGAGGTACCAGTTGAGGGCAACTGTTCCATTTGTGGTTTAAGAGACATGCCAGTAGCCATTAGGATTCATTTCATATTGCATTTTCTTTTGCAGTCAGTATCGCTCCAGGATCATTGCCAAAGGGACTTCACGCGCTTAACCTGTCGAGGAACAGGATTAATGCTGTTGAGGGACTGAGAGAATTGACTCGATTGCGGGTACTGGATCTTAGTTACAATCGCATCTCTCGAATCGGGCAAGGTAACAACCCGATCCATCTCAAGTACTCGGTTTCTTTTAGTATTCTGGTTTGCTGTTTCTACTGAAAACTTACAATCCGAAAGTTTGTGGAACATAAAAAAAGTCTACAATCTAAGGAAATGTTCTAAAGAGGCAAATTTTCATGGCGATGAATCCAGGGCTTTCGAACTGCACTCTAATCAAGGAACTCTACTTAGCTGGGAACAAAATTAGTGACGTCGAGGGACTTCACAGACTCCTGAAGCTCACAGTGCTAGACCTCAGCTTCAACAAGATAACAACATCGAAAGCTCTTGGCCAGCTCGTCGCCAACTACAGTTCCCTCCAAGCACTGAACCTCTTGGGGAATCCAATTCAGACGAATATCGGCGATGACCAGCTCAGGAAAGCGGTATATGATCTACTCCCTAAGCTGAAGTATCTAAACAAGCAATCCATAAAGCCGCAGAGAGCAAGGGAACTGGCGACCGACAGTGTGGCCAGGGCTGCACTTGGTTCTAGCAGCAGCAGGGGTTTCCATCGGCGAAGGTCTACGAGGAGGGCAACGGATTCTGCTGGTTCTTCGTCCTCCCCAGTTGGACGCAGGAGTATGGCAAGTAGTGGTGGTGGTGGTCAGAGAAGCAGGAGCATTGGTAAGAGCCGCGCCCATATATCTAAGGGAAGGGCTGTGACGTCGTCTACTCCTGCTTCTTCATTCCGATCCAGAGCCTGAACGACCATTTTCCCCTTGGATTGCGGTGAACGATCTTCTTTGTGCGTTCATGTGAGTCCCTCGATGTTATTAAAGGTGAACTGTGTATCATATTCTCCGTTCATATGGGATGTTAGTAAATTTTGATTGTTTTCCTCTCGATTCTACCGAGAAGTGCAATAAAATGGTGGAGCTGTCTTTGAGTGTGCTGTGTGCATATAGTTTCTTTTACAGTTGCGACTTACGACTACAAGTTCAGTTGAGTTGATTTAGATTTGTAAGAGAACGTTTTCTTTTTGTATAATAAACTTTTAGCAATCCTCGAAAACAACAAAATGTTGTTTTCACCTGTTCTCAATATATGTAAAAAAAACATATTTTTTTCCTGATTTATTAATAAAATGCCATGATTCACAATAGTTTTTAATACTTCTATTTTAGTTCTTTTAATTTTCAATTTTTTTTAATAATTTCCACTTATTTAGAACTTCATCCTTAACAAAAGTTCAACCAATTCTTCTCTGATAAATAAAAAGCCATTTAATTTATTGTTTGATTTCACCTTACTAGTACCTACCACTTTGGAGGAAGTTCCTATTGATAAACTTTCCACTTCATTCCTCTTTCTAGAAAATAAAGTCTTCATGTGCACCTCCTGCTGAACAGAAGATATTATATTAAGGATGATTTTGTTTGTAGGTCAATTTGATGATGCTGTTCGGAACTTAGGGTTAGGGTTTAGGAACTTAGGTATAGGGTTTAAAATTTAGGTTCTAACCTTAAGGTTTAAGACTTATAATAATGCATGGATTAATTGTAATTCCATATTATACCATCATTTAGCTGTTAAACCCATTTTTCGGGATGAGTGCTTTTTAGGATTTGCATTAAAATTTCAGAGGAGAGCACTTTTTTGTCTAAAAGTAATTACAATACCATCAATACAAAAAAGAAATTCTCCAGTTTACAACGATTGTATCTATACAGATTTTCATTTTCATATTTCGCTGTAAAAAATTGTCTCAATTTAAAAAAATATCACTTTTGTTTCAAAATCCTATTTCTCACAAAAACAATAGTTGTTATCCAATATCCTCCCTATAAGCTTGTGCCAATTTGGAGACTATGAAGCAACTGCGCCCTATAAGCTTGTGCCAATTTGTTTATAAGATCATAACAAAGATTTTGGCGGAGCGGTTATCCAATATCCTCCCTCAAGTGGTCTCAGAAGGTCAGAATGGTTTCATTAAGGAGCGTCAGATAGTGGATAACATTTTACTAGGGCATGAGCTTATGCACTATTTAAAAACTAAAACTAAAGGGAAGAAGGGGTTCATGGCCCTAAAGGTTGACATGGAAAAGGCCTATGATAGAGTCGAATGGCCCTTTCTCCTTGAGGTTTTGGTAAAAATGGGATTTAGCTCTACCTGGGTAGGTTGGATCAAGGAATGTCTCAGCTCTGCGTCTTTTTCAGTTATGATGAATGGCACGCCGTCTGGGTTCTTTTCCTCTTCTAGAGGCCTGCGTCAAGGGGACCCGTTATCACCTCTTCTTTTTGTGCTTTGCACTGAGGGGTTTGCGGCGCTTCTCCGGAAGGCCATAGCTGACAAACGGTTAGCAGGGATTAGAGTGGCGCCGCGGGCTCCTAGATTGACGCACTTATTTTTTGCCGATGACTCGTATTTATTCCTTCGGGGCTCCCTTCAGGAATGTGAAAATCTGATGGAGGTCCTCAATGAGTATGAGGAGTTGAGTGGCCAAAGGGTAAATCTTGCCAAATCGGCGGTCTGCTTCAGTAGAAATATAGTGCAACAGGATCAAGAATTTTTGGCGGCTGTCCTTGGTGTGGGCGCAGTTGGAGTTCACGACAAATATCTAGGGCTTCCGTCTTTAATTGCAAGGTCGAAAATGGAGACCTTTCGTTTTTTGGAAGCAAAATTGCTCGAACGGCTTCAGGGTTGGAAGCAGAGGACACTGTCTTGGGCAGCAAAGGAAACGCTAATCAAATCTATTGCTCTGGCATTGCCTCTGCATGTGATGTCCTGCTTCAAACTCCCAGTGACGTTGTGCCGTATTCTGGACAGGCATGTTGCCCGGTTTTGGTGGGGTGAGAATGAGGGTCATCCGAAGGTGCGGTGGAAATCTTGGCGGGAGATGTGTCGAAGTAAGCATGATGGAGGGATGGGATTCCGCAGTTTTGAGCAGTTTAATCAGGCGTTATTAGCTAAGCTCGGCTGGCGTATTCTCATGGACCCCACTTCTTTGCTAGCTCAGGTTTATAAAGGAAAATATTTCCCAAGTGGCCATTTTTTGTCAGCTAAAGCGCGTTCTCGCCCATCATGGGGATGGCAGAGTATACTGTTTGGCCGCCAACTCTTGGAAATGGGACTACGCTGGCAGGTGGGGAATGGGCGCTCGGTGTCTATGTTGCGCTCCACCTGGGTCCCTGACTTGCAGTTTGAACCTATTCGGTACAATCCTCAGGTTTTGCCGATTGGAGGGGATCCGGTAGTAGCGGAGCTAATTTGTCAAGGGGAAGGGAGGTGGTGTGACCATAAGCTTCGGCAGTGGTTCGACCCGGACACATGCCGTCGCATTAAAGCTATCCCCCTCCCGCGTGAGAATGTGGATGATAAGCTCATTTGGTTTGATACGGTGGATGGGGAGTTCACAGTCAAATCGGCGTATCACCTGGCTGTGACTCTGGATCGAAGGCGGGGGCGAGTGAAATCGACGGTGGACTGGATGGATAGGAGAAGATGGATTAAGATATGGGAGGCTAAGATTCCGCCAAAATTGAAGGTTTTCACCTGGCAGATTTTTAATCGGATATTACCGACGACTGAAGCTCTCATTAGCCGTCATATCCCTGTCCTGGCTCGGTGCCCGGTCTGTTGGGAAGGGCCCGAAACTTTGGAGCATCTGTTTTTGGATTGCCCGGTGGCGCGAGCTGTGTGGGGAGCGGCGGGGATGGAGCATCTAGGGGAAGGTTTGCCTCGGGAAAACTTCCCCCTTTTTCTTAAGAAATTGATGGGGTTAGTTGCCCAGCCTTCGCAGTGGATGGCCATTGTTGCAGTCCTTTGGCGGATCTGGAAATCCCGGAACTGGGTAGTTTTCGAGGGGAAGCAGGTTGGGTTGCCGGTTCTGATGCGCCAGTTTGTGCAGCAGGTTGAGGAATGGGCTAGGCTTCCAATGGAGGCGCTTCAGCGCAATCTGGTGGTTGACGATCTGGGGCCTTGGCTGGTGGAACCTGGTGGGTTGATTTGCAGATGGGATGGTGCTACGAGGAGGGGGTCACATGCGGCTGGAGGAATGGTTCTTTTGACCCCTAATGGGGACACCTATAGGGCTTCTGGTATTTCCTTCCCTGGCATTGATGACCCTTCAACTGTGGAGCTTTTGACTTTGCGAGAGGCTATTCGGTGGTGTTTGGGGCAGGGCTTCGTCACTGTTCGGTTTGAAGGGGATGCTAAAGTGCTCATTGACAAAATCAGGCTGGGGGATTCTCGAGATCGCAGGATGGGGGCTATTTTGGAGGAAGTGTTGAATCTGTTCGCGAGTAATCCGGGGTTTAGTGTTCGGTTTATAGGTCGGCGTAACAATAGGGTAGCCCACTTGGTGGCTAGAAAAGCCCTCTCCTTGTACCCGACTATGAGTCGTGTTTTTAATTATCAGGCCTGGCTGTGTTCCAGGATGTAACTATCTTTTTGGTATCAATATATGATTATCTTTTGTCAAAAAAAAAAAAAAACACAAAAACAATAGTTGTTCAAATTTCCTTTTCTTCTGCCGAAAACAAAACCACAAAACATAATGACTACTAAATGCGCCGCCCATAAAGTTGTGGAGGAAACATAGGCAGGCAAGGATTCGGGCCGCACAAGACAAGAGTAGGACGTCCACAACCACAGCACAGCCAGCCAACCAACCAACGACAGCAACTCCTAGCATTGCATTATTGGATTCCCTTTTGAAGTATTTTCACCGCTGCTTTTGGTAATGCCTTACCCATTGATTAAGGCGCTAAGGTAAAACGGATGGATCGAATATTCTCAATTACAATCCCACCTATCAACATAGTAATCGGACCTCTTGCAACTTCCAACTATACTCGTAAGCAAGATTGTCAAACCGGTTTATGTCAATAGTCAATAGGTCGATTTCGTAGTTGGAATGATTCTATTAATTATATGCATATATATAAAATAGTTATAACATGCATAATGCACTTGCTTTAGTAATTACATTGATAATTTAATGAATATTTATATTTACTTTTGTAATTATAAACCTCTAATGTTTTACAACTAATGGCGAATGTTTAAACCTAGTAATAATTTAAATTATTTATAAAAATATCACAAGCTTAATACTGCAACATAATCGTACTATAATGTAATGGAAAAACAAAATTGTACAACTATGACAAATTTTCTCTTATTTATTATTTATGTTCAATGAATTAATTAGGCTATCATGGTACTATATCTAACAATATAAGCTCAGTAGAATTTTGGGTTATAGGTATAATATGCTTCTCTACTATGACGTTTTATCAAACATGCCCCTCTACTATTTTTTACATCAAACATGCCCCTGTACTTTGTCAAAATGATCAAACATGCTCTTTTGTTAAAATTTTCATAAAAAACCGTTAACCAAGGCCGAACTTTAGTTTGGGCGACACAAATGACTAAAATATCCCTGAAAATTTCACTTTTGAATTTTTTTTGTTCTTTTGTATAATCAAATCATTCAAATAATTTCACTTTGAAAAGACCCAGAGAAATAAGAAAAGGGGACAAAACTGACATTTTTCCTCCCATTTGCCGATGTCGGGTGGTCTAAATCTCGGTTCAACCATGATTGACGATTTTTTCAATGGAAATTTTAATAGAAGGGCATGTTTGATAATTTTTCAAAGTACATGGGCATATTTGATGTAAAAAATAGTAGATGGGCATGTTTGATAAAACGTCATAAAGTAGACTATATTATACCTATAAAGTAGAGGGACATATTATACCTATAACCCTAGAATTTTTCATAAAGTAGACTAAAAATGGATGAATGAAAGGACTAACTTCTCACTATAGAAATCAGACCATCTAATAATTTACTTTTCCTTTCCAAAGTAAAACTCGATAGCAAACATCCATCACAGATTCGTGTCATTGATTTATGCACCCAGCATATCATAATAATAGAAGGAAGAGCAAACTTAACAAGTGCAGAAAATCAATCACAAATTGTCAGCTGAAATCAGACACGCACGCAACAGCTGCTTCTCCAAACTTGAGCAGCACAAGAAGGGAAGACAAGGGGAAACAAATGGTAGGCACAAGCTTAAATGAAACACAACCAGGATGATGGCAAAGATGATTAGTTGCAGGCTTCACCAAGTTTCCAGAGTCCAAGGCTCTTTCAGAACCACCAGACATTTCAACAAATCCATCTGAATCAAATACAAAAAAACGACATTTTTCACTATTCGACCTCAATTCGACCGATTTATACATAAGCATATGTATTTTGTTTAAAAATGATAATTATATTTGTCAACATATCTGATATTTATCAAAAATTATATAATATTTTCATGAAATTATATTGTTTTTAACAATTTTTTCCCGTTCTAGTAATTTATTGTATTAAACCAAAAGAAGCTACTCTTCTGCTACCAGGACTGAGAATTCTATCACGGTTTCTGGTCTAAGTGGAAACAAGTCTGGTTAAACCGAATCGATTTCAAACGAAAACTGGATTCTCACCTATCCAATCCAATTAACGATCAAATGGGGACTACGAATAATTGATTTAATTCGATCCGGTAAAACCGGAAAAACCGATTAAACCAGATCCAATCCCAAGTCCAGCCCACAACCTCATTCCCAACCATTTTGTGATATTAATGATACTTTGGCTAAGGCATCTAAATAAGTGTATAATGACAAGTTCTGCCATTTGGGTGTTAGACATAGTAGAATCCATGAATTGATCGATCACATAATTGTTTCTATATACAATAGGCAAAATACAGCTTTATATCCCCAACTATCAGGTTTTTGACAAATATATCCACAACTATCGAAATACACGAAATATCCATTTCCGTCCACTCCGTTAACTTCGTCAGTTAACTTGATGACTGGACAAACGGTGGATGCTTAGTTGGCGTGTTTCTGACCCCACTAAATGACGTGGATTAAAAGAGGGAAAAAAAATTAGGCAAAATACGGTTGTATATCCACAACTATCAGGTTTGTGACAAATATATCCACAACTATCGATATACACGAAATATCCAAAAATCGGAAGGTTGTGTGACAAATCTATCCATTTTCGTCTGAAACTATAACGGCGTGTCAGACAGCGTTAAATTGACTAACGGAATGCTGAATCGATGCCATCTCACCTGCCACATAAGTCAAAAAGCAACCAAACTTTACACCATTATCCGTTAGACATCGCTGCTGCAGTCTTCTCTGTTGGCAAATTGGTTAGATTCAAGCCCTTTTTTTGTTGAGATTCAAGCTTGGTATCACCATGGCGCCGACTGCATGGAAGCTATCGGAGTAAAAGGGAGGCAATGGTTGGAGATTGTGGTTGGAATCGAAATCTGGGCTTGCGGTAGGGTTATTTGGGGGTGGAGTCGTCGATCGGAGGAGGATAAATGGTTATCGGCCATGTTTCTGGGTTGGATTTTTAGTCTCGCCGTCTGTAGTTTTTAGGGTTTTTAATTTTTTTCCCTCTTTTAATCCACGTCATTCAGTGGGACTAGAAACACGCCAACTAAGCATCCACCGTCTGTCCAGTCATCAAGTTAACTGACGGAGTTAACGGAGTGGACGGAAATGGATATTTCGTGTATTTCAATAGTTGTGGATATATTTGTCACAAACCTTATAGTGGTGGATATATTTGTCACAAACCTAATAGTTGTGGATATACAACTGTATTTTGTCTTTATTCAACTAGCCTATTTGGCATCTACGTGTAAAGTTTGGTTGCTTTTTGGCTTATGTGGCAGGTGAGATGGCATCGATTCAACATTCTGTTAGTCAATTTAACGCCGTCTGACACGCCGTTATAGTTTCAGACGGAAGTGGATAGATTTGTCACACAACCTTCCGATTTTTGGATATTTCGTGTATTTCGATAGTTGTGGATATATTTGTCACAAACCTGATAGTTGTGGATATACAACTGTATTTTGATAAAATTATTAGCTAGAGACATGTAATGATGGAAATGGCGGGCGGGTACCTCAATTCCCATACCCCGTCCCACACTTGGCGGATAAAACCCGCGGGATACGGGGCGAGCCGGGTCGACCCACTCTTACATGTTATTTGGAAAGATGCACGTAAATTTTACTTTTTACGATAAAACAAAGGGAAAAACACTTTATGAAAGAAATATGTTGATAATAAAATGGGTAATTGAGTCTAACAAGTTGAAATAATGACTCTAACTAGTTGAATAAAAGTAAAAATAGGAAAAATATGTATAGATACTGTGAGGAATTGAGATAAAATGGGTCTAAAACCGAGCGAGCAGGACATGGATGGTCGGAAGTAGATACCCATGCCCCACCCCACGCTGCTGCAGTACGGATAATACTCATCCATCGCAGGTCGGATCGAGTAATACCCGCGGGACATCGACCCGAATTTTTCCTTTAGTCGAGAGTTCAGGCGGCTTTAGGATTTTGGCAGCGGCTTCGGTTGTTTGTAATTGATGGAGGAGCTGATTTCTTCCTGTTTTTCAGAAATCAAACGAAATGAGTACCAGAATCTTGGCCCCACGGCGGGCGCCAATTGTTTGTGCCTAGAATGTACTAGGCGGTTATGAGGCTCTGATCTGGATTCCTTCGTCTGATCTCCTCGAGAGTGGAAGAATCTGTGAGGCGAGGGGGCGGCCCCCGGGATCTACTCTCCGACGCCCAAGTTAGTACGATATAGGAAGCTGTTTATGGTATGTAGAGAGAGAGTTTAGAGAGACCTTAGAGTAAGAGTGTGGGAAGGGAAGAGAGGATCTTTTGGCTTGGAGGCTTTGACCTCCTTATATAGAGCTTGTGCCTCCTTAAGTGGGCTTGGGCCAAGGACGCCTTGCAGTGGGCTTGGGCCCGTTTATAGTCGTGTAGGCATATTAATACATATCCCAACAATGGTGGTCAAATTTAAGAAAGTGATTGTTTAAAGTAGATCCTATTATACGGTTCTCATGTAGTGTTAGAATGCATTGTATCACATAATGGAATTATAACATTACATGAAAATCTTACAAATCTCACCAACAAAATACATAAAATCTTCAAAATTCATGTCAAGGGTACATACAATGACATTTTCTGATCATGCATTAGTTCATTCTGATTTATTTTTGCTTATACTTATCCTTGATTGAAGGCAAAAAAAACATAAGAAGTAACTAGAGAAGGGACACCTAATTGAGTTTCAGCTCTTCAATCTCTGTACCTCATTTCTCGGAGGATGTGAAATGCGCGCTCACCCCTAGCGACTCCCACATACTGGAGACCAAATTGAACAGAAAGTAAGCCTTCCGTGTAAACTTGTCAAGCCAGCTGATAAGAAGTTAAAAACAGATGAGGTCTGAACATTTCTAGCTTGTAGACCGACGGACATGAGAAATCAATCAAGTGATTTAACTCTGAGATCCTATCCAAGGAAAAGTTCTCTAAAAAGATTATCTATATCAGAATGCAGGCATTTCAGCATCTCTCTTGTCCTTAGGTATCATGTCAGAGAACTAAGTACACTCCACTTCCAATTGAAGGAAGCAAGTCTTGAACACACAACACAAGAATCAACTATTACAAACTGCAATCAGAATCATATAGAATGTCTGTCAATCAACAAACATAATCATAGAGCTGCTTCTCGTGCAAGGAAACCAAAGCGTGTTCTAATTGATCGAAGGATGCAAAGAGTGTTTTTATTGATCAAAGGACGATACCTGTAATGTTCGATATGTTCAACTGACTGAATTTGACATGATCCACTGCAGCGACCCTGAAGAAGTGGACTCAAATACTCTTCCACTTCCCCATCAAACCGAGCTCATATTACATCAGTGGAGACAGTGCACGAACAGAGTCAGTCTTTCAACTATACATCATCAAAGCTTACAACTCCCCTTTCTTCATTTCAGCATACCGACACAATTTCTCATTGAAAAGAACTTGTGGATCCTTATCAATGAGATTTCCTTTCTCGTCATAAGCATCTTTCAGAAACACAGCCCAGTTCATCTCAGTCCCAGCAAGGTAGAATGTCCTGGGCTGTTTCTTCAGCATGGCATACGTATGCTTCGTCAAGCAGAACTCATCCTTGAACTCCACAATGTGATGAATGGAAGCTCGCTTCTCCAAAGTCAGGCTGAGAAACTCGTGCACAACTCCAACCCTGTATTTCTCGGCCTCCAAGCTCCAGAGATCCAACTCATGGCCATCGCCGCTGTATGGCGAAACCAAGGGCAATGTGTTCAAGAGATTCAACGTCCTAGCATCTCCCTCATCCAAGTCCAAATCTTTAGCATATTTTACAGGAAACTTAAACGCTCTCTTGGCTTTCTCCTCATCTACCATAAACTGCCTCTCCAACTCGCTCACCGCCAAGCTCTCATCCCAATTCACCAATTCCAGCGCTCGATTCCCATCACTCCCAACCACAACCCTAAATCGATCCGGATACTTTACCACTCTATCTCGAAAATCGTCAGGAAATCCAAACAATAATCTACAATGATGGATCTTACTCAATGGAATCCGCTTGTCCTTTGACATCATCAACAGCTTCGTGACCTTGTTCACCCTGTCGATCTCCATGGAATCCATAATCGACCGCTCCTCGTCGAGCAAGTCCTCCATGAAATCCGTGAACCCTAGCCACAGCTTGTTGTCCGTGTGGCGGTAGGTCTGGAAGAGCGACGGATGACGGTCGAGGTAGCGAGCGATTTTCCGGCCGCGAGGGAAGCCGAGCTCGCGGTAGAGCTTGCCGGCGTCGTCGAGGCGGAGGACGTGGTCCGGCTGCTGGGAGAGGAACTGCTTGGATCTGGTGAGGAAGCGGAAGTGGTAATCGCGGTCGACGAAGGATTCGAGGTGGTGGTTTCTGGTGGAAGGATGCTGCTTGGCGAGCTTGGTGCGAGGGGAATCGGGCTTCTTGCGCTTCTGCTTGAACTTTTTGGGGGTTTTGGTGACGAGGAATGAGGTGGAGAAGTGGGCTGCGGTGGGAGAGGAAAGAGGGAAGAAAAGGTTGGTGTTTTGGAGGACGGGTGGGGAAGCTAGGGTTTTGGCCGCGTTGGGGAGCTTGAAGTTGCAGACGAGGAAGCGGCGCCACGCCATTGGAATCGGAAAATTGGGGTTGGAGAAAGACGACGGCGGCGGTTGATCAGGGTTTGCGATGCGGTTTGGCCGTTTGGGGCTTCTTCTCCATTTCCGCGCCAAGGGGGAAATCGGGGATAACAAAATGAAGGAGGTATTACGAAAATTTAAAGATAAAAAAGTTCCGACCTGCCGGATTCGAACCAGCGACCTAAGGATAGCTTTCTGGTGATACCAACTACAGTCCTCCGCTCTACCAACTGAGCTAAGGTCGGGGTGATACTATCGGTTGATCAAATTAGTTTTATTCCTCGTGGAAACCCTGTGAATTTCAATTATAAATTTGACTGATACATCAAAACAACAATCAGCCTTACATAGGTATGAAGCAAAGACTGAACCAAGCTTTAAATCCAAATAGAGGCCCAAAGTGGTCGAAAATGGGAGATAATATACGACAAATGCAAGACAAAAATCTACAGCATCGTTTGTCTTAAGAAGTTCTATTTTTTTTTTTTAGGGAAAGGAGGGACCGCACCTCCTGTAATTTTATTAATTAAGCCAAATGGCTAGAATCCAGATACAAATCGTTCAAAAGGAATGATGGAGAAATGCCTATCCAGCTATTACATTGATTTAGATCTATCTGAACATGTGCCAAAGTATGAGCAACAGTATTAGCTTCCCTGTTCGTGTGCTTCCAAGCGTAGCAGTCCTCAATGCCTTCAGTCTGCAGAATGGCCTCACACACCACTCCGAGTTCTGTCATGTCCACCCTCTGCTGTCGCAAGGTGTTCACTAGTGTTAAGCAATCCGACTCGACTTCGAAGGGGCCAAGCTGCTGTTCTTTCATCTTCTCCAACGCGAATAACACTGCTCGACCCTCTGCCACTGCTGGACTCCATTTCTCGGCTTCCCTTTTCACAGCTGCAAATCTGAAAGCACCAGTCCAATCTCTAACTACCATAGCCAAGCCTGTTCCTCCATCTCCCAAACACCCAGCATCATTGTTCACCTTTAGGATTCCAATTCCCGGCGGCTGCCAGTGTTTAACCCTTGAAACTTGTTCCCTTCTTTTCACCCCTGCCTGTTGTTCATGTCTATATTCTAGAATCCAGTTTTGAGCTCTCATGGCCACCTCTTCCTCATCCAGCTTTTTGCCATTGAACTGCTGGTTATTCCTCTCGTTCCAAAGAAACCAAAGTAGCGTACCTACCTCCCCCGCCTTATCAGAGTTTGTCGAGTTAAGGAACCTATTCAGCCAACCTGACAAGCCTTCTCCTTCCACAAAACCACACTGATCCGGCCAGGCCGATCTTCTCCACACCCTTCTCGACCATCCGCATTCCATAAATATGTGTTCTTGCGTCTCTACCAAACCACAATAGGGACAATCTGGTTCAATCTTTTCTTCCATTTTCTTTGCTAAGTTCATGTTGGTAGGCAGGATGTTCTGCATCATCTTCCAAATAAAAAAATCTTACCTTTGGCGGTGAATTAACCTTCCAAATTGACTCCCAGTTCATGTTTGGCAGATTTTGCGGGAGCTGGTTTTCCTCCTCCCCTTTCTCAAACTCATCTACTGGCTCTTGAATTGCTAGATCATATCCCGTCTTCACGCTGTAGACACCATCGGAAGTATAATCCCAACAGAGGGAATCATTAGCCGGTCTATTTTGCAGGGGGATGGCCTGGATACTTCGCATCTCCTCCGGAGAGAACAATAACTGTAGAACGTCAGCCCTCCACCTATTGTGATCATGATCAATGAGATCTGATACATACTCATATCCCATCTTTCCATTAGGCCCGACCATCAGCTTCTTCCCTTGTAGACCCGGCACCCACCAATCCTCCCAGATTTTAATACTTGAACCATTTCCTACCCGCCTTCTACATCCCTTCAAGATCAGGCCACGGGCCGAGAGTAAGCTTCTCCAAGTGTAGCTCGGTCGGAAACCCACCTGCGCTTCTAACACTGAGCAATGGGGAAAGTACTTTGCCTTTAGAATTTGTCCAACTAATGAGTCAGGCTTCTGCAATAGTAACCATAATTGTTTAGCAAGGAGAGCCTTGTTAAAAGTTGCCAACTCCTTCAGGCCGATCCCCCCCTTCTGCTTTACCTCTACACAAGTAACTCCATTTGCGTATCCTGTTCTTGTTTTCATTCTCTCCCCACCAGTAGTTAGAAATGATACTATTAATCTCACTCACTAGTCAGCCCGGTAATTTGAACACTGACATAGCAAAGTTTCCTTTGGCCAAAGCTACTGCTTTTATCAAGATGTCTCTCCCTGCAGTGGATATCAATTTGCCCTTCCAGCTGTGTATTCTGCTTCTAATCCTCTCTTTAATGTAGGTAAAGGCTACTTTCTTCGACCTCCCCACCACCGTTGGAAGCCCCAGGTATTTCTCGTGTTTTGAAACTTCTTTTATACCCAAATTGGCTGCAATTTCTGCCCTCCGCTGCTGCCCAACATTGTTGCTGAAGGTGAGTTCCGATTTACTCAGGTTCACCATTTGTCCAGATTCCTTCTCATAAGTCTTAAGAATGCACTTCAGTTGCTCGCTCTCCTGTGGACTAGCCCTTGCAAACATGATACTGTCATCAGCAAACAATAAATGGGAGACAGTAGGGGCCTTGTTACACACCTTAATCCCATGTAGTTTACCCTCTTCTTCTGCTTTGTTGATCAACGCCGTCAAACCTTCTGCACATATAAGGAATAGGTATGGGGAGATGGGATCCCCTTGCCGGAGTCCTCGAGTTGGTGAGAACATTTCTGTCTTATGGCCATTCACAAGGACAGAGTAGCTTACCGTGGAAATACAGGCCATGACCATTCGAATCCATTGCTCATGAAATCCCAACTTGTTCATCATCTTCTCTAAAAAGATCCACTCAACTCTGTCGTACGCTTTCGCCATATCAAGTTTTGCCGCAAAGAAACCTCTCTTTATCCTCTTTTCCTTCTTCTTCTTCTTCATAGAATGGAAACATTCAAAGGCTGCCAAAGCATTATCATAAATAGACCGCCCAGGAACAAAGGCACTTTGGGTTTTGGAGATGATCTTGTCCAGGATAGTCTTGAGTCTGTTCGCAAGCACTTTAGCCATGATTTTGTACAATACATTACAAAGAATTATAGGCCGGAAGTCCGCTGGCGACTTGGGATTCTTCTTCTTGGGGATAAGACAGAGCAACGTGTGATTAAGGGTAGGTGGGACTTCCCCTGTCTCGAGAATGTTAAGCAATTCTCCGCAGACCTTGCTTTTCACTATCTCTCAATTTGTTTTATAGAAGAGTGAAGGGAAACCGTCATCACCTGGGGCTTTCAGGGATCCCATCTGGTTCAGTGCTACCTCAATTTCTTCAACTGTAAATCTTCTTGTTAGCCAGCTATTCATATCTGCTGTTACCCTACGCTTGACTGCTGACACAACTTGCTCACTTTCCGGATCACCGCAGCTCTGAAATAGATTCATATAGAAGCTTCGCAGACACGAGCTCACCTCCATCTGACCCATATGCACACGCCCTTGACTATCAATCAGTTTCTTGATGGAATTCCGGCGGCGGCGCTCTGAAGCTCTATTATGGAACAACCTCGTGTTTCTGTCTCCTCCTCTCATCCAGAAGACTCGCGATCGTTTAAGCCATTTCTTCTCCTCCTGCGCTAGGATCTCCACTTTTTCTGCTTCCAATCTCCTCCGCCTGTCGACCCAGTCTCCTATCTTTTGCTCGCTTTCCATTTTTTCCAGAGATCGATTAATTTGCTTCAATCGCTCTTTGACCTTCCCAAACTTCTCGCTGCTCCAACTCCTAAATTTCTTCTCACAGTTCTTCAGCTTTTGGTTTACGCAGGCAGCCTCATCCTCTTGCCATCCCTCCAGGACCACCCTCCGATAATCCTCGTCATCTTCCCAGATGCTTTCGTATCTGAACCGCCATCCCCATCTGACTTCTTCGTTACCTCCTCCCTCCGTATCCACTAAAATTGCTCGGTGGTCCGAGTCAAACCGGCACAAATGTTTAACAACTACCTCTGGGAACAGGTCGGCCCAACTAACATCACTCACAGCCCTGTCCAGTCTTTCTTCCGTCAAAGCTTCATGTTTCCTCGCATTATCCCAAGTAAACGGATACCCCACAAAGCCCAAGTCCCCCAATTGCGTATCGGCCAACACATTATTAAACTCCTGCATTTCCTTTTCATCCGGCGGCACCCTACTTCGCTTCTCATTTCCGTTGGCGATTTGATTGAAATCTCCCAACACCAGCCAAGGAAGTGAGTATTGGCCATGTAGATTACGAAGTAATTCCCAAGATCGGTGTTTCTGCCCACTCTCCGGCCAACCATAAAACCCGGTAAATCGCCATTCTATATTCTTGTCCGGACATTTGATGATGCCATCTATATGATTTAGCGAGAGCGTTTTCAGGGTGAAATCCACACCTTCCTCCTAGAAAATTGCGAGCCCTCCAGCAGTGTTACGAGCAGCCACACTTAACCCATTCCTAAAATTCAATTTTCGTTGAAACTTCTTGCATTCAGATTCGGAAAGCTTTGTTTCAATTAGAAACAAAACTTGGGGAACAACCTGCTTCACAAGCTGGGAAACGGACGCCTTTGCCTCGGGATTCTCCAGTCCCCGGCAATTAAGGCTGATGATTTTCATTGTGGTAGGCGGCCTTGCTCTGTGACAAGGTCCGTCTCTGAGTTTGGCGCGATTCCTCGAGCAGCCGTTTTTTGCTTCTTAATTCCTTCCAGCACCCCTTTCTGTAGAGTTTCTTCCTCTTCCTCTTCCTCCCTTCCCTTCCGCTTGCCATCCCCTCTTCCTCCCAGCCCTTCCACCTCCCTCTGGTTCTTGTCTCTAACCACCCTCTTCCAGCTGTCCTTCAACTTGTCCACTGTCGCTACATCACTATTGGGTTGGTTCTTAACATCTGTATGGGCCTGGCCCGAAATGCTTTCTCCCACCTGTAGACCCTTCACAGCCTCGTCTTGGGCCTCCCCTATCCGGATTAATTCGCCCTTCTTTTGGCCCAAATCCGACTCCTCGCCCCTCACTAGGTTTGGCGGCCCCTGATCCACTCATGTTGTCTTTCCATAAATTCCCGCCTTCCCTTTTAAGGAAATCAAATCAGCTTCATCCCCGTCTACCTTCTCGTTCCTTCCCTCCTGCATTCCACCGGCATTCTTTCCTCCTACGACTCTGCTCCCAAACCCCTCGCCTTCCTTATTTCCTTCGCTCATATCCATATTCTCGCTTTCGTCAATCTCTCCTGGACTTTCCTTCTTTCCCCCCAATAAATCCATCAGCTTGATCTTCGCCTTCGGTTTTCCTTTTTGGTTTTCCTGTAAATCCGCCTTGTCTCCGGCGACCTTCCTTAAACGTGTCTCTTCATATTATATAATTTCCTCCTTTCTCAACTTAGAGACTAAGACCTGACAATGATTTAATCATAAGGGGACCAATTCTTCGACAATTTGCCTCACGCATACATGGCCAAATGAGGCGCCCAAATGGATAGCGTTCAAAGACAGCTTGACCAGATGATGAAATCTCTCACCTCGATAGCAAAAGGGTCAGGCGCCCGACCCCTTAGATGTGGCAAACGAGCGCCATAAAGCTCAAAAGGAAAGCACAAAGGCAAACGAGGAAGTGATCAACGCGCTACTGTACGTGGGGACCGAGCCGGGCCACCCATGGGTTAGCACGACACGACACAGTTAGAACACGAGCACGAAATAAATGGGCTATCCCTAAACGAGCACGAATAATTTATTGGTCGTGTCAGGCATAAACTTCATGGGCACGAGCACGGGCACGGCACGTTATATAAGTGGCCTGTGTTGGGCTTAATATTTTTTAGATTTGATTTGATTGTTTAATATAGGACAAAGAGACCAAGCAAGGAGTCTTGAGTTTGGCTAGTGCTAGGATATGGATAAGGAGAATGGAGGAGAGGTGACATCTCAAGTTTTTGTCATTGGTAATCTTTAATTTGACGAATTGGAGGCTCAGAGAAGACTAATACTAGTGTTTTCTTTTTGGTGTTATAAAAATAACAAGAGATTCGTGGTTGAGGGTCATGTCGTAGTGAATGAGAGAGACTAATTGAGAGGATAAAATACACACTAGATTATATTTCGGTATATACCGATCCCAATCCTGTAATCTCTAATGCCGAATAACAAATGAAATTAAATCCCAATTCCAATCCCAAGAAATAATACGTGTATTCAGTAATACCAAATATAGACAATTTCAGTACTATATTTGCTATATCACAAATACTTATACCAAACTTCCAGCCCTAACCTTAATGCTTCTATGTCTAGTTCCTCAACACCTCTAATGCCACCCTATACAAAGCTTGTCCCTCCGCATTTGCAAAGATGGTGCACCAAATGGTACTCCTCACTTTGAGAAGGCATCATACACAACTCAAACAATTCGCCATGCAAGTCACCACCAAAGTATGCAAGTCAAAAGAAGCATATGTTGATTGTGTGTTCTCTTGTTAACATACACCAAAAGAGGGGCGACTTCATTAGGTGTTATAAACGCGCTGCTACGAATCGGGAAATCGCTGGAATCGACAAAGCAAGAATACGAAAGCGAGAATCGAAAAAACACAGACACACGATTTACGTGGTTCACTAACGCGATGTGTATTAGCTACGTCTAGGGCTGCAAACGAGCCGAGTCGAGTCGAGTTTTTGCTTAGCTTGAGCTCGGCTCGTTTATTAATTTTTCAGCTCGAACTCGAATTTTGATAATCCAGCTCGAGCTCGAGCTCGACTTGAATAAAAATAATCTAGCTCGAGCTCGACTCGGTAGAGCTCGATAAATGCTCATTAACATAGCTTGTCAAGCTGAGTACAAGCTCGGCTCAAAATGGGCTCGATTAAAAATCATTTTTGCTGGAAAAATGTATAAACATAAGAATTTAAATGATAGAAAGAACACTAGAAACTATAAATAACATCTAAATTTCATACACATCTGTATTAGAAGACAATGTTCATGTTTAAAAGAGTAATTCATCCTTCCACAAGCTCAAAACAAGGCAGCTCGCGAGCTTAGCTCGACAAGCCACCGAATCAAGCTAGCTCGCGAGCTTATCAAGCTGAGCATGCTCTAGCTTAGGCTTGGCTCGTTAACTAACGAGTTGGCTCGCGAGCCGGCTTGTTAAATAACGAGTCGAGTGTCGAACGAGTTTTTTCCGATTCGAACGCCGAGTTGCTCACGAGCGGCTTGGCTCATTTGCAGCCCACGGGCGAGAGAGAGCCAGTTTCACTATATCGAGGAGATTACAGATTACAGAGGAGTATGAGAAGTATTTATAGTTTTTCTCCATGTGGGTCTAAACCTAATCCAATATGGCAAAGGAAACGGTTACAGACTAGGCCCAGAACCCGAACCCAAATAACATTGAGCCCATACACCGTGGGCCGGGGGCGTTGCCCCTGGACCCCACTCGCTGACCGGGCAGCGAGACCCCGATTACCAGTCGTAGCTGCTGATAGTCCGATTCAAGTCACATCAACATTAGGTGATGGTGGGAGATAGTGATGGACGTCTAGGACTTGAATCCCTCCATTGATGCACACCAATCTGATGGATGCCAGCACTAATGAGAAGCTGGTGAGGTCTTCTCGCGTAAACGGGAAAGTGAGGCACTTGGCAGGCACATTTGGTAGAGAAATTCAAAAGAACATCTTGATGGAAGAGGCACTAGGTGTAAGAGAAGAAGAGTGTCATGCTAGGTGCTAGCTTAGTGGTAGGGACAACACAAGAAGTGAAAGGCGCATCCCAGACTGGTGCAAATAAGTCAAACATCTGAATATATGAGTGAGGCACGATGTGTTTATACTATAGCAACACTCAAGAGGCACACAAGGGACAAGAAAATTAAGGAGCCAGAGAACCATCAAGAAAGACAAGAGACACCTATGTATAGCGAGTGTCACGACTCGCGTACTCAAAACACAATAGACTTATGTTGCTTCAACACGAAGGCCTACTCTGATCGAGGAGGAGTACGAGACATGTTCCAAAGGTCAGAAATAGGCGCTCGGTTGGCACGTACCAGGAACCAGTGGTCCCAATAACTCGAGCTGTTGGGAGAGATTCGATCGTGGATTATATATCACTCACACACCCTCTCAAAACGAAATTCAGTTAACTTACAAGGGTTTTCGTTTGCACATGTCCTAAATACAAAAAAAAAATACATGTGCTTCACAAATGGGGGTCACCGGAATTCGAATATAAGACCTTTCGATCACAGAAGCCTCTGATACCATATCAAGAACCAATGGTCCCAATAATTCAAGTGAAAGATGTTCAATCATGGATCATATACTAATCACTAACACTCAGCGATTGTAGCTCTGCTAGCCAAGGGAGCAAGATTAGAGCGCCAACCAACCAATGAGTATGAGTCATGACTACTAGTAGGGGTGAACAAAACATTCAGAAAATCAATCCACCATAATATCCGACAATATCTAATTTTTTTAAAACCAAAACCTTAAGGAAAATACTATATTATACATTTATTATATACTCCTCCATCATAAATCTCTTATTTTAATTACTATTTATTCATGTAATTTGTTTATATAGTTAGTGTTATAAATTGAAACTCAAAGTGTTTTCTTAATATATAGACCTATCTTTGCATCCTCTCTTTATTTTATAATTTTTAGGTTACTACCGTGTATTAATAAATAAAAATATTTTTAATCCTTCTATTTTTCTAGTATGAATACAATATGTTGTTACAATATCTTACTTGTTTTGTAGTTCCATAGTGTCATATATTATTCGTCGTATTATATTACTAAAAGTAAGGTAACGACTGGTTACTCCAGGAGTATGGTATACTCCGGGTGATCTGTCCGTTAGAGGTGCTTAGATAAGCTCTGACCAATCTCAACGGTCAATTATTATTTCCTATTAAATTGAACTTGGAGATTGGGTTTAGAGAATCGGGGTATGGGGTTTATTCATTATATGTTACGAGATAGTATCACATTTCAAACTCAGTTTAATTCATGATCTAGATATAGATATCTCACTATTGAGTACCTGGAGTATAGTCTCTAAATGTTTTGTTCTTGTATAATGAATTGAATTTTCATTTTACCAGACCCAATCCATAATTCAAAAAAACCCCGTAGGGTCTTGAAATTTATTATTGTGTTTGGGTTCATTATTATTCATCGCAAAACTCATAGATTGGGTGATTAAAAACGACCAAAATCAAGCCAACCGATTCATGTACACCCCGAACTACTAGAGATCGGAAATTGACCCTCATTGAAAACAGATACACGCATGCCAACTTAGGTAAGACTATCTGGCAAAGTCTCCTTTATAATCATTCTGCAACCCGCAGCATGAAAGAACTGAGACGGTGTATATGCAAATGGGCGAATAAGAAAGCGAGCTAACTTTTTTACCCGAAAGAATGAAAACTGAAATGGAGGCAAATTTGGTGTATGTCATTTATGGCTACCAACCGCGAAACTACCCCAAACCTCACTTTACCCTATTCATCAATAACCCTACGCTACGATTTATATTTCACTTTCAATAGGACATACACATTAGCCTGCCTGCCTCCAATAATGTCATCTCAGCTCAGGTCCCAGAAGCCAGAAGGCCAAAAGGTGGAGGGTACAATATTGCCCTTTTCAGAGACCACTTTAAGAGAATGACAGACCTGCAAACTGCACCTTCTTACTGCTATTTCTGCTTCAGGTTGTCTTGTAGGCCATATAACACATCAAAATACACAAGCCACATGGAAAACATAACTCTGTCTCTTCTGCAATTCCCACCTGCAGAACTGTAGGCCAGATATAACACAACTGCCACCAGCCTCTTTAACCATTGAATAGTAACAATCAAGAAACAGAGATCATCATCAGTCTTTCTTCCAAATTCCAATCCATATGATACAACAAAATAGTAATCTCCTTATTCCTTCTGATCATCTTCACGATCGTAATATGTGGGTATAACTTCACATCACAAATGGGAAACAAGAAATAATAATTGAAATCCAACTCGCTGTACTTCCCACGTTCACTTGGTACGACTGGTGCTCTCAAGTAATTACACTGGCCATATGGAAAGCCTTGCGGCTCCATAGGTACTTTTAAGTTTTGATGTGGTTGAATCCACCATTCTGTAGCTGTCTGGTTCCCTTCTTTCTGTCCAAAGCTTTCTCCTTTTTCTTTTCTTGCATGTGGTTGCTCCTATTTTGTGTGATGGGAGCTTTTACGGCCATATAAGTAACGCATGACAAAATGAATATTGAATAGGGTATTATGATCTTCTATCTTCTTTTCTCCAATGACTGGATACAGGTCTTTCAGGAGGATTGACTAGCTTGCCTCTTTATGAAAGGTTTCTGGCACACGAGGAGTTTCTCCTCGCTATTGCTTTCGATGTCTACAACTCGGGCGTCCCATTTCAACCGCGCCGTTAGAGCCCTTGATGATTCGATAAGTGCTGCCGAATCTCGAAGTATCACCCAACCCTGCAGATGAACAGACAACTGGCTTAAAACCGAATTCACAGTAAGTAGGTTCTGGTAACACGACTTGGCAGTTGGCGTATCATTCTTGCATAAGGAAATTGTAGGTTGGCTTGCCTCGGGACGAAGCAACCGATCAATCTCGAGGAATAAATCGAGCAAGGTGCACCTCCGCTGTTGACTTGCTTCGAGGGTCAAGAGTCCGTCGGCATGCACCAGATCATAACTTCTGGGGTATGTTGGGAATGCCTCGCACCTGAGACCAGCAATGTTAGACAAATCAGTTTGAGGGCAACTTCATAAGCCAGAGCCAACGCTATACATTCATTCTTTTCTCTTAGATCTTCAATCCCCATGGGGACAAAAATATCACATTTACTTGGAACTTGAAGCATTTCGAACATAAAAGGAATGCCTCAATACAATGAACTTGACACAAGACGGAAGTAATTATGCAGAAAATCCAAAGGAATGTTCTCTTCACTATGACTAATCCACTTGTTAGCAGGTAATCTTGGAAGAAGAGAGCACATGCCAAACAAGTTGGATGATGCATGTCAAGACACCAATTTGCAGTTGTCTTAAACACAACGTATGGTGGATCTTATATCATTCTCTTACAGTCCCAAACCCTAAATATGGTACCCAGGCTCTCTGCTATCCAATTTGATTCACAAATGCATTATTTCTCTTGGTAAAGACCAAAGGTGTAGAGCTAGGTTAGACTTTTCACTTTCAGAGTAGGCAAAAACGTAAAAGAACCAAGAAAGTAAAATCCTGATAGCAAGGAGAGCATGAATATTTAGGAAAAACAAGATAAAGGATAGACATATAAAAGGCCGATGAGGAAAAAGTTACCAATCATGCAATACACCAACAAAGCCACGGTCGAGTATCATAGGGAGATAGTTTGGTCCGCTTGTTGGAACCACATTCATAACCCAGACAGACTTCCCCGTCTCCAGCAGTGCAGAATTGAGACCACCAAAATGGGCATTCATATCGAGCACATTCCTGAGCATGTTATATGGTGGTGAAGGATCTTCATCACCAGGTCTCTTCGGATGATCCGAAAATATAATAGGTGAGAGAAGAGACCAATAATTTGTGACTGCTGCCTTCCATCTCTCACCATCCTCAGCAAAGTCCTCCAAGCTTGATCCTGGACAAGAAAAGTACTCCATAAGACGCGATATGAAGAGCAATAATGACAAACTTCTTAAAGTTTATGCTTTCATTACACTGTTCAACACCATGCAAACAATGATTGTGATTACCATGTGCTGCAAGCTCATTCTTGTTCAGGTGAGATCTAGAAGGCCAAGTTGCCCTTTCTCTAATGGGAATCCACCGACGACTCTGAGTTCCAGCTATGCATGCTTGCAAAGGCCGATAATGGGGAGACTCAACATCGTGGCTTTTGCTGCAGAGAGAAGGGCCTGAACCCGGCTTCCTACAGGAACAAATGAAAAATGGATCTTCTTATAACAGGTAGTGATGGCCGACGAGTTACAGCAGATTTTTCAAAAGTTTCACCCAACTAAATATAACGCCAAAGGGCTGCAGCCGCCTGTACCTGGAACTGTAACAGCTCTTTTTGTCGGTCTTACTCCATACAACAGTTTCTTCTTCTTGAGACACCAGCTTCCAACATAGATTTTCGGCAAAATCTCGAATAAAGTTCCACCTTTTGATATTTTCCTTATTGCGAGCATTGGTGAGTGGTGAAGTCCAAACAAAATACCCTCCTGGCCTTAAAAGGCGATCAGCTTCGACCAAGAAAATACCATCTGCACCAAGCAGAGTAAATCCTCAGGAAACTAATGCGAGCATCTTGATCGCCAATAAAGTTAAGATGATTGTTCATCCCAGGGTGAAGGAAAGTATGAAAATGTTATGAAAGTTCAACTCTAGATTAGTGATATAAGAGGACCAAGAAAGATTGAAGGAAAGCAGTCTGAAAATTAAGAGTGAAGTAAATACCTTTTTGGTCCCAATCGATGCCGCATCTTGCACAATGCAACATGTCAAATGAAAGAGAAGGATAGGGCAACTGTTTCAAAGTAAAGGATCCAATCATTGCCGGAAGGCCTCTTTCAAGAGTAAGCTGAACTTGACTGCCTGACGCCTCATAATTAGCAATGCACATAGTTAAAAGCTGCTTGGAAAAGAGATGTGCTCCAAAACTACCATAACCACATCCTATATCAAGAATCGTCCTGACCTGAAAAAATCACCACAATGCAGATTATGAGAACCACAAAGCATATTTCCAGCCCAGATTCGGACCGAGATTTAATTAAGTATTGAGATGATCCACGTACCCCAGCCTGGATAAAGTTTGATTCATTTCTCAGGCCAATCATTTCAGCAATTTGATGGGAATAATCTTCAACACCGTCAAACATAAGAGATGCAGAACGAAAAGAAATCTGGTCTTCCTCTAGCATCATCATCCTGGAAGATAGTAAAAATTGAGACCTGAATCTAACATTTCTTCAACGATATCAGCTTAGACACTTAAAAAAACTCAAAATTGAGGATAATTGCTAGCTCACCGCTTAGTAAAACTACCAGACGAGAGCACCTCTTGTGCAGTGATCTTAACATTAGAAACCCAGATAACATCTCTTCCAGTAGGCCACCTAAGAGGGATCCTATAGTTCAAAGGCGGAAGCACCAAGCAATTCTGCCTTGACCCTTTCCCACATTGACGATCATTCTCATCTCCTTTGGAGTAACCCAATGCAAGATTCTCCGTAACATTGAAGCAAGGAACATAATTCTCAGATTCTTCCTCGGGACAAAAGTCCACTTCTTTGGTCTTGGAAGAACCAAGTGAGAGCTCCCCAATATCCCACAAATCGGAGACAAGCTGCTCCTGGAGCCGCCTGTAATTGTGAATGATTTGGCCTCTTGAGGTCGTGGAAATGGAGATTGTCCACCAAAAGGAACCGGTGAGAGCAAGAATTACAATGAGAGCTAAGCTCAGCCTTAGAAGGAACATGGCTAGTTTCTGCCTACTTCTGGGTGATCCAATGGTAAAGGGATCAGAAGAGTGTAAGCCGTTCTCAGTAGCAGCATATTTGGAAGGTGAGCTAGTTTCCGAGAAGAATACCCGAAAAGGAAACCTCAGGGATAGGTAGCTATTGTCTGGAGTAGAAGCACGAGTTTTGTCCAAATAATCCTCTTTTTCTTTGTCGGTTTTGTCTTTCATTTGTGAGTCCCATAGATCATCGTTGCTACCTGAGATCCGCACCCCACCTGATATGCCTCGATGAAGAGGCCGAGACATCTTGCTTCTGAAATCTGTCCAGATAAAGCAAAAGTTAGACTGCGAGCAGCAGTAGAGAATCATTCAGTAAGCTCAGTAGAACTCACTAACAAGCTAATGATTGCTTGCAAATAGCTGGAGCTAAGAGATTAAGCCAGACAACCCACAACTAAGAAAGGCAAAAAAGTTTCCCTTTTTATGCTTTGGCAAGTGCCATCTTGAGCAGAAGATCAAAATTGCCAACCAGTGACAGTAGATCCGAAGAAGAGCAAAAGCAATTGGGGTTTTGAAAAACAAAAGGAGAAGCTTTTTAATTCACTGTAAAATTCCACAGCGAAAGCCCACAAAGCTGGAAATTGCAAAGCGAAAGGGAGGCAAGAAGTAAAGTGAATCAAGCCTGGACTCGTGCTCAAGAGCTCAAATTAGGAAACTCTTGAAACTTAACTCAAAAACAAGATCAAACCCACCAAAACTCGCAGTAACAGACTACAAGGGCAGAGTAGAGTAGGAGACTAGGAGTAGAAGAAGGGCAACATCAGTACCTAAAGAAATCAGCGATAATGGCAGAAACCCACAAAATGGTGGGTGGAGGAGACAGCGCAGCGACGGAAAAAGGGAAGAAGGGGAGGAATCAGGGGGAAATTTGGAAATGGGATTGTGCCATCAAAAGAAGCAAGCAACAAAGCCCTGGATGGCGGTGAGGGGAAACTCCTCTTTACTCTTTTTAGTTATTGTTTTGTTCCCTCCCCTGTTTTCAGCTTTAGTTCGAGCTGCCGACCACCGCCGGTTTATCTCTCTCACAATCTCACTCACTATTCGGGTCTCCGTCGCCGCTGATATTAATTGCTCCGCCGCGTGGGAGAGGGAGAAGAAATGTGGGTGAGTGAGAAAAGGGGGAATGAGCAGAGCAGAGAGAGAGAGAGAGGGAGAGAGGAGATTTTGTATGGATCCAATCACGACAGGCTTTCTCGTGAAACCTCTCTAACAGCTGCTCCTTTCCCCGGTTTTTATATGGAGTTTTCTTCTTGGTTTCGAGATTATGAGAGAGTGAGGGAGGGGTTTAAATTCCTTAATGTTTAGTTAAGTTGTGGTTTAATAATAAAAGAAGAGGGGGGCGTAATTAATAAAGTCGTCTTAATCACTCTGTCCCGGCTCTATCTCCATTGCAACTAGCTGCTAATAAACGCGCTTGTCCCCGTAATTAAGAAGCCTCCATCCCAAATACCCTCTACAAAGGGGAGTATGGACCCATAGCAATTTCTGATCTGATTTGTACAAAGAGTTAAATACCGACCATCATTTTTTTAAATAACATATAAGAATGGGTCGACTCGCATCACCCCATACCGATGTGGGTATTAACCGACCTGTACGAACGGAAATGAGTATTGAGGTACCCGCCCCGTCCCATTGTCGTCAGGTGACACATATGGAATCTGATGTTGAGTTGTAGTTGTTCACGTCAAAGTTGCATTATTACAATTGTAAACAATACAACGATTGCAACTATGATTGTACTACTGTTTGTTCGACGCAGACTACTATAACTCATATATGGGTACTGAATCCTGATATATTTTTTTTTGTAAAAATGATATAAGTTTGGTTTTTAATTAGGCGTGCTACTTAATGGATTCGAATATGGAAAGTATAGGTTCAAGAACACTGTTCGTTTGCAATCACTGCTACTCGCCTACTCCTACAGCTTCATGGCTGACTAGCTAGTACAATTCATTGTTAGAATTAGAGCTGGCTATTTGGTCCGGCCTGTTTGGTTTTACCCGAATCCGGACAGTATAACCCTGACCGAGACTAGACCGGGGCCGGATAGCAAACAATCCAATCCAATCTTCGGACCTAGATTTGAGGAGAAAAACCGTTTAGGACCGGACCAAAGACCGGATAAGAGAGCCCAACACCCAAAATTTAACACCCTCACTCTTTAAGGCCTTAGGCCACTCAAATCCCCCCTCAGACCACTCAAATCCCCACAAGCTCAATCTAAAGTCAAGACCGAATTGAGACTGAACCGATTCAAAACCGGACTGTATCCAATCCAATCATTGATCCTTATATTCAAAAAAAATCGAACCGGAACCAAATCAATTTGGACCAATTTAACAGGACCGGACCTATAGCCACCTCTAGTTAGAATGGTGCTCGTTGTCAGCCATCTAACTGATACCAAACACATCACTTTGTTTGTTCCTTGCCAATTAATTATATCCAAACTTCAAATCTCTTCTTCAGATTGCCCATTAAAGACTTTTTGCACCATAAACCTCCAAATTTGCAGCTGCTTGCAAACAAAAACGACTGCCAACCCATCCGAACCCTAGAGGGACCGGAACTGGTATCAAAGGTCAAAATAATGTATCACGCAACCAGAAGATGATACTATGATAGTGAACCCTTCCATGTGAGCAAGTTCGTCAAACCGTTTTATATCATTGTGCCGGTTTACTGAATGATTCAATTGGTGGTACAGTTAGTGTGTGCCGAATGTGAAAACCTATTAATAGTAAATGAATTTAATCATATATAGAACATATTTAAGAACAATCTACTTATAATTCATATTATAATAAATGCGACATTCCTAATAAAATTACAAATACTCATATTTAAATACAATATTTAACGTCAAATACCTAAATGTGTATACTCGAATCTAACAAATAACATCAAGATTTAACTTTTAAACACATAAAAAAATGATAACTCAAAATTTTTTTAATTAAATTCACTGAAACGACGTCATTTTGCTTAGACATCATAAATCGGTCATACCAGTGGCATACCTGGTTGCATGTGAGCTCTTTAAATTGGTACATGACTACATGCTATTGTTATTGAATGTCACTGGCCCAACCCAATATTAAGAAGAGAACAAGGTAGGAGGTGCCGAATTTGGATTTACTCTTGCTCTGGGAACGGAGAGGTGTGTGGCAGAGCAGTAGATCTGAAACAGAATGATTATGAGAGAGAGAGAGAGTCGATGGAAGCCCGACATATAATGCCAACCCTATCCTCCCAATTCATGACAATACATTCTTTCCTGTGAACAATTCCAACGTTCCCCTTCTTCTACGTTTCCCCTGTCCAAAGGTATGGTAATGAGTGCTGCAGGACCATAGTATACTTCAGGTAATCTGACCTATTGAGATGATCTCCGACCAATCTCAACGGTCAATTATTGTTTTTTATTAAATTGAACTTCGAATTTGGGTTTAGAGAACCGGGGCCCTGGGGTCCATTACAGGTTCGGGTATAGTATCATACCCCCCAAACTCGGTTTACTTCATGATCTAGGTAGAGATTTCGCATTAGGGATACCTGGAACTCTAATCTAATCTAGTATATACCAGGGCCTAGAACATAAACCCAACATGTGTATAAGCCCCCGCCGCCAACCCGGCCCTATCGAGGAACCTTGCTCCCAGTCCCACAACAAACCTGCTAATCGGGCGCTTCGCCTCTGAAATCCCCCGACTCGCTGATTGGACAACAAGAACTCCCGTTTACTTTCACTCTCGATCGATGAAGAATAATCCGATTCAATTCATACGAACGTATATGTATTGTCAGTTACACAGAATCCAATTAGCTGCCTGCAGAAACATGATTATTGTTGTTATAATTAACGGTGCAGTAGTCAGTAGATAGAGACCAGCAAGAACCAACTAGCTTTGCTAGCTAGGCGAAGGCACACCGTCACACCAGGGTTCAAACACATGCTTCACCATGTGGCCAACAGCCAGCCCTGCCTCCTCCTATCATTATAATCTTCAACTCTCCTTTTCCAATTTTTCTATCGTATTTGGACTCTGAGTTTACTTAATTAGGCAGAAAAGGACTCTGTTCCTCTCTCTCTCTCTCTCTCTCTCTCACTCTCTTACTTATATGTATTAATTTGCTGCATACTGATCAGTCCAGCAAATCGAGTACGTACCACCGGCAGCAGCACCTCGAGAAGTTTCTGTCAATCCTTTTCACACACACACAAGCCAAAGGAAGAAAAAAATAAAAGCTTCCTAACTCAGCCAGCATTATTGAAGTGCAATGTACGTAGCAAAAACAAAGAACAGAAAATGAAAAAAAAAAAACCCACCACCGACATGTATAAATATTGATATATATCCAAGGCTTTGACAAAATATGAATGAAATCAAGGAAAAGGAAAAAAAAGAGGGGAGAGACTAGAGAGAGACCAAACATGTTACACCGTAATTTGTTGATTAATTAAAGTAAACTCGTCCATTAATTCTTGAGTTTGTTGGTCAACTCCACAATGAGTCAAAGTCGCATGCCCCACGAGCCATGATGATATTCATTACACCCGCGCAAATTGCTGTCGACAACGGAAAGGAGTGAACCAACACCAGTATCGTAGATGGGGTGTTGAAACGAAGTAGTTAACGTGGTAATTATTTTAACCGATAGTATTCAGATTATTTGGCTAACTCGTACCACTGCATAAACACATCCAATTTATTAACTCGTAACATTTGCGTGTATATTGTTAGATGGCTACTTTTAGTGACTCGAGGATAATTATATTAGTTGCATGAATTTATGTTAAGGGTTAACTATGTGTTTGACTGTTATGTATTATTAATTATATAAATAACGGATTGATGCATTCATAATAGATTTTTTTTCCGCGTACTGGCATTGTTATGTTATATTGGCTAACTAGGTTAACTATTTAACCAAACCGATTAAAATTTAGTTTGACTAATTTGGTTGTCATATTAATTTGGTCAATTTGGGTATGATTGTATTCGATGGTTAATAGAACTTAGGCGTAATTGGTTTGGTAATTACCATATTTGAACACTTTTATGTAGGGAAGTGGATTTATGTTCCTGATCTTACATACCACTCCCTTGAGGTTTTCCTATAAAAGCAAACAAACATTTGTGTCTTCCTCTCTTGCAAGTTACCTGTGCTTTGATTGATTACACTTCAATTTTACGAAACATATGAATAAATCTGTTCGAATAAAGTTTTAACGAGGGCATTAATACACTGGATCTAAATTAACTTACAAATTACCCTATTTTCGTAAGGAATTTTTCGAGAGATCGGCAATAACTATCACTACTCTACTCTCACGGATTTTTTATTTTTTTTTAGAAATGAAGGTGGGTAGCACGACCTAGCTTATCAGGATGACCCAACACGATGGTGCTATGTTGAGCTCTCCAATGGTTAGTATGAAGGTGGGTATCACGACTTAGCTAACAATATGGTTTCATCGAGGTGTCAGCAAGACGAGAAAAACAAAGAAGCTAAGTATGGAGCCCTTGAGGGCATCAGGAGGCAGGAGTGTGATCAAGACTTGATCATAGAGGCAAGATAAGGAGGTTTCAACCCCATTTAATCGGAACGAGGGGACAAGACTCAAGTGATTATTTCAACTCAATACCAACTTGAGCCAACGCCGAATATATTCTTTGAACGAGAAGTTATTGGTCGTCTTCTTTTTGCATGCACACATTGATTGTGTTCATGTACGATGTTTTGGAGATGCTAAACATTAGTTATTAGTTTAATTGCTTTCTTTGTTGTGAACCGGATATAGTTTAATTAAATTTATGAGTTGAACTAAGTGGTCGTTTGGAAGTTGTGATTGTTTTCATGGGATTGTTAATTACCATATATGTGTATTGTTCGGGATGCGTCATTATTTTGTTTCTATAATGTTATAACAATAAATCTATTTAGCAATCGCAGCTTCCAAAGTGAAATAAAATATTCATGTCTATACATGAACATAGACTACGATTACTGGTAAATTATATGCATGAAACTCGCAAAACAAAGACACATGAAAAATACTCGCTGGAAATTCTGGGCCGCCATCGTTGATCTACATTTGGCATCCAATTGCGTTGCGGGCCCACCTCCGAGGTCGACCGATCTGGATCAGTGGGTTCGTTTTCTGGGGACCCCGCCACTCACCTTCGTTCTTCTCCGGCCACTCCGCAATCCCCAGCTCAGCTGCATGCATA